CTAGCCGCGGTCTTCTCCACGGTCGGCGAGGCGATCTCCTCCACGGTTTCCTTCGTGAGCTCCTTCGCGGGTTCCGGGGTTTCCTTCGCGAGCTCCTTCGCGGGTTCCGTGGTTTCCTTCGCGGGTTCCTTCGCGGGTTCCCCCGCGGTGTTTTTCGCGGTTTCCTTTGCGGTCTCATCCGCGGTCCTCTTCTCCCCGACTCGCTGGGCGTCACGTCTACCACCGGCGATGCTCTTGGCCGGCGCCATAGGCGACGCCTCACGACTCCCCTCATCGCCGGAGGCCGACACCGGAGTCAGGCCACGCAGTTTGACGGGAAGGGAATGAGAAGAAGGGGCAGGAGATGGCGAGGCAGGGGCAACCGCGACATCCTCAACAGCCCGCTCACTGACCTCGGCGAGAAGAGGAAGTGGCGCCGTCGAGGTGCCCATCGGCGGGGTGGCCCGCGTCCGACCCGATGCAGGCCCGAGGTCCGATTTCCATACCTCTAGCGACAGAGTTTCGTAGAACACCACGTCCGACGTGGTGACCACCCGGTTGGCAGTGATTTCGAGGAGCTCCCAGCCTTTGCTCTCCTCCGACACGCCGAGGTGAAGGCCCCACCGAGCCTTCGGCTTCAGCTTCCCACCGTGATGCTGCTCAGGGACGAGGAATTGCGCCATGCAGCCCCACACCCGCGCCATCGACAAATCGGGCTTATGCCCAGTGAGGAGTTGGTACGGCGTTGTGCCCGCGGGCAGGGACGACCACTCCAGGGAGTTGCGAACCCAGACAGCCTGCCGTAGAGGGAGATGCCACCAGTGGTGCTGCACGCCCATGTGCAACAACATCGTCCGCACTAACTCCACCACCGTCCTCATCTCCCGCTCCGCCATGCCATTCTGTTGCGGGGTGTAAGGGCAGGTCAAGTCGTGGACAATTCCCTTGCTGTCCACGAAGGCAGTGAAGTCCTTCCCGAGGAACTCCCCTCAGCGGTCAGAACGCAGTTGCAGCACCGAATGCTTCGCATGCCGCTCCACCAGCGCCAGCCACTTCTGGAACTCCAGCAGCACGTCCGACTTCTTGGCGACCGGCCTCACCCACACACAGCGGGTCTTGCGGTCCTTTAGCAGCAAGAAGTACAGGCTGCCATCCTTAGCAGCCACGCAAAATGGCCCGCAAAAATCGATGTGCACGACGGCCAGGACGTCGTCGGCTTCGGAGCCGTGGTCGGGAAAGGTATGCCGCTCCAGCTTCCCGCCAACGCACGAAACACACGGTGAGTCGGCGCCACACACCGACTCGAGGTCCAGCCCAGTGGCAACCTCGTGCTTCGCCGAGCTCCGTATGGTGTCCATGCCAACATGCGCCAGCCTCGCGTGCAGCCTGTTCGGGGTTGCTTTCGTCGCTGAAACGATCGCCCGCAAGGCCACCTCCTCTTTCGCGGGTGTCGCCGATTTGACCGCGCATGGGCGCAGGTCAGTGCAGAAGACTCGGCCAGTGTACGTCGCGCGACCGAGCACGTCCCCCTCCGCGGAGACAAGCAGCATCCGGTCACCGTCGTTCTTCAGCGTCACCCCGCTCTCCTTTAGCTGGCCAGCCGAAAGCAAATTCGCTTGCACGCCCGGGACGTAGAGAACGTCGGAGATGAGCACCCGTTTCCCGGCCTCCCCTTGTAGCGCAACTGTGCCACGGCCGCGAACTTCCTGCAGCGCCCCATTGAAGCCACGTACATGCTTCACATCGTCACTCAGCCCCAAGTCGACGAAGGCCTCCTTCGTCCCCATCAGATGGTGCGAGCATCCGCTGTCGAGCAGAACCACCGCGAGATTCGCTTGCACGGCCGCCGCCACCGCCTGGAAATCCTCGCCGGCCTCCGGCGCCAGCGAGACGGTCGGCTCCTTGTTGTCTCGCCCTTTGCCAACCGCGGAAGAGTCGGCGTCCTTCGCCGAAGTCGACTTCGTCGGCTGCTTCTCTTTTCGCGGCTGGTTTCCTCGACGCGAATGACGGCTGCCAGACCTTCCGCGGCCTCCCTTGGTTTCGTCGTCGTCCGAGTCACTGCGGTCGGGACAGTCGAAGGAGAGGTGATCGGGATCGCCACACAGCCAGCATTCCCGGCGTCGACCTCCTCCTCCACGACCGCTATCCTTGGCAGACTTCTGCTTGTCAGCATCCATCACCAACTTCCCGCCACTGCGGTGGCTACCACCATACCGCCCGCGCTGTCCCGGTCGACCACCTTGTTTTGCGGGGGCCGCGAAATTCACATGCGCGAGGAGCTCCTAGGACCGCTCAGCCTCCTGCATCGCCTCGTCTTGCAGGACGTACGAGGTCAATGTGTCCTCGTTGAGCGTCGCTCGCATGCTCGGCGCCATCGACAGCCGCTTCAGCAGGTTATAGCTGCTCGGGAGTCCCTGCATGACATGCATGACATACAAAGCCGTCGAGTATTCCGCGCTAGCCATACGAATGGTGGCGAGAATTCGCCGAGCGCGGTTGCAGTAGTCAGTCGCGGTCTCCTCGTCGCCCATACGCAGGTGCGTCAACTGCCCCTCAAGCTGGGCAATGAACAAGTCGTTGGTGACCTGGTAAGTTGACTCGATGAAATGCCACGCCCGGTGGCCAGCGTCGAGGTACTCCCTGCACGACTTCAGGGCGATCTTTACGCCCGGCGAGCAGCACCGCGAAATGACCGTAAAGGTCAGCAACTGCACGACGCAAAATTCCGCTCGCAGGTCGGGGTAGTGCTCCTTCGGCGTCGCCACGGTCCCGCGGGCGAAGCCCATCAGCCTGGCCATCTCCAGCTGGGGCTCGATGGCTTCCTTCCACGTGAGGATGTCGGGACGACCGACCAGTGGAGGTGAGACCGAGATCCTGTCCGGCGTAAACTTGAAATAGCCGTAGCTCGGTGCGATTCCTCCCGCGGTCATGTGAGTCGCCGACATCGGCACCAATTCACTTCGTCTGCCTCCGACGTAGTTTCGCAAGGCCCCTGCAGCCGCCGATGATTGCATCCCTCGCGCTTGAACGCCGCCGACTTCATCGGCGCGAATCACACCTCGCTGCCTCGATGTGCCTCCCGCGCTGCTACCGACTTGGTCACCCGCGGCGTTGACTCCCGCGTCGACGCCGCCTGAGTTGTTCACCGGTCGAGGAGATACAGGCCGAAAAGGGGGGTGCTCCGCTGCCCACAACGCGCAAATGCCAGCCTCGACCACGGTCAGCGGGAGAGTTCCATACTCGTTCGCCGCATGACGTCTCCTCGCGTCCTCCACCCGTGCTCCCAAAGTGTCCACGACACTCGCCTCTACTACGGGGTCTACCATGGCGTCTAACACAGCCGTCGATCTACGAACAAACGGGGTGAATGAGAAGTCAGCTAAACCGAAGGTCTCGTCGCGGTGTCGTCCACGCTCACCGCACCATGCGGAGATAAGTGGTGCAACGGGAGATAGACTACGGGCAAGGCACGGATGCTCGTGTGATCTCTGCGTTCGTTGGTTCCTTAGTCGTTTCCAAGTGCTAACACTGCTTGCTAGTTCACGGGGAAAATTGGCAAGAGTTTCACTCGGAAAACATGACAACAAAGGTTCAGAATGATTAGCATCAACATTGGCAACACAGACTACATCAGACCTAGCAAGGCTGCTGGTCGACTGCCAGCGCAGCACGGTCGACCGCGTGCCAGCACGACTTGGTCGACCGCGCTCCAGCAGAGCAGAGTCGCGGCTTGCCAACGTTGCCCGTCCGCGGTGTGCCAACCCTGCAGTACGTCGGCTGCACAGCGATGCATCCGCGGGACAATGGTGCACCAGTTTCGCAGGTGCATGCTGCTGGTTGGCGCCCAACTCCCCGTCACACGCCCTGCGCAGACACTTCACCCGTGACGGCGCCCACCAGCCACGTCGACCTCGGGATACCACCCCCGAAATCGTACTTGCAGAAACACCCCTAGCGACTTTCGCCCGCGTCGCCCAGGTATCCTGGTTGACAGGGTATTTCGCGGTCCTCCCGCCATTTTGCGGCCACCGCGGTCCCCTACGATTTCGCGGCCACTCCAGTCCTCCCGTGACTTCACGGCCACCGCGGTCCTCCGTGGTTTCGCGGCTCCCACGGTCCCCCGTGGTTTCGCGGCTCCCACGGCCCTCCATGGTTTCGCGGCTCCGCCCAAGCGAAGACGGGGCCAAACACAACTCTTCCTGTAAGTCCACAGGCACCTACGTCGACGAGGTTCCCTCACCTGGGGCGAACATTGTCGATGGCATGTGGATCTTCAGGGTGAAACGGCCGTCGGGTTCTCCGCCTGTCTTCAAGGTGCGTTACGTGGCTCGTGGTTTCAGTCAGCGGCAGGGAGTTGACTACTTTCAAACCTTCTCTCCCACCCCGAAGATGACCACTCGTCAGGTGCTGCTGCACGTCGCTGCTCAGCGTGACTACGAGCTTCACTCTCTTGACTTCAGCACAGCCTTTTTACAGGGCAGCCAGCACGAGGAGATCTGGCTGCGCCGCCCACCTGGCTTCACTGGGTCGTTTCCCCCTGGTACCCAGTGGAGCCTCCGACGGCCAATCTACGGTCTCCCCCAGGCACCTCGTGAGTGGCATGACGCACTAAGGACTACACTTGCGGCTCTTGGGTTTGCTCCTTCTACTGTTGACCCGTCGCTGTTTCTATGCAACGACACTTCACTACCGCCGTTGTACATCCTCGTGTATGTCGACGACTTGGTCTTTGCTACTGCTGACACTGATGCACTGACTCTAGTGAAGTCGTAGCTGCAGAAGAGACACACGTGCACAGACCTGGGTGAGCTGCGCAGCTATCTTGGCTTGCAGATCACTCGGGACAGAGCTCGCCGCACCATCACTCCGAAGGAGAAGGTGATTGAGAAGGTCAAGGAGCGAGGGAGTGATTCGTGGGACTGTGTTGCGGAAACGAGTGACTGAGCGCGTGCTGTTTAAAGTGAAACCAAGGGAGGCGAATCATGAAATTGCTCCGAAATTGCTCATAAGACTTGTCAAAAATGGCACAGGGAGTGAGGGGCGAGACTGGAACAAATGGAGTAGAGGGGAAGCGGAGAGACGAGACTCGCTTTCTCTGACATTTCTCTCTCTCGCTCACTTCGCTCTCAAACAGGCATCTCATTTGCCTTCCTTGTTGCGTTTCTCCGAGGCAGCAGCACGATTAGATTCTCCTGAGAGTGAATACATCCTCTTTTTTTTTTTCATGCATCCCTCCCTGTTGTGTTTCTCTCTGTCTCTAGTGTACCCACCCACCCACCCAGGCAGCAGCAGCTCAATTAGAGGCTCTGGAGTGATTATACCGGGGTGGATGCTGCTGTGGTGGATGAGGATGATGAGATGATACTGGTACAACGTGTACCTTTCCTTTCTCTCACCTGTTCCCCGCCCTCTCGCATGCACCCAGGCAGCAGCGGCGCGACTGGAGGCTCTAGAGAGTGACTATACCGGGGTGGATGCTGCTGTGGATGAGGATGATGACGTGTTCAATGCAGAGGAGGAACTGGTGCAAGAAGGTATGCTTATAGCGAGTAATGGACAATAAGGGCATGCTTATAGCGAGGAAAAAGGAGGTGTGCTGAATGGTCGATTCAGTCGGTGCATGGAAAGAAGGGGGTGTGGGACGTGTCTCATAACGAGGAAGCACAGCTTAGGGTACAAGTGGCAACTCACCCCCACCATGCTTCTCCCTCGCTTCCATGCCAGGAGGTGTTACGGGTCGCTACAATGCACAAAGGCACGCATAGTTTGTGGGGCACGAATGCTTGCTAGGGGTACGAATGCTTGCTAGGGGCACGAATGCTTGCTAGGGGCACGAATCACGATATGTTGCGGGAAGCCAACCTGACAACCCTCTGTCTGATGTGCTTGCCAGATATTACCGATTAAATAGTTGGTATGATGGAAGGTATCAGCAACAACCAGAGCTCCGGTTACGGTGAGGCAAATCGATTTGACTTTTGTGTTTCGTGTTATTCATATTATTTAGACGCCCGCTCTAGTTTAACGACATTCTGTCGCTTTCTTCTTCCTTATTGTGCTCCTCGTTTGTGTGTTTCCTTCCGTCCCCGTTTGATGCGTTCGCCCTTGCTATCTTCCCCTTTCGTTCCCGTCTTCCTTTGACTGCCCACCACGTTTGACTCTGGCCATCCGAGGCAAGAGGTGCACAAGGCAGGCTCTCTGGGAGTCAACTTTTGAGTCGACCCTTCAGTCAACTCTTGAGTCAACTCTTGAGTCAACTCTTGAGACAAATCTTGAGTCAACTCTTGAGTGCCCACCAGGCTTCGCACCAGCCAAGCGAGTGAGCCGTCCGGGCAAGAGGTGAACGAGGCAGTCATTCCCTTCCCTCCCATGCCTGTGCGGTCCATTCCTCGTACGCGCTCCTTGGAGTGCCCACCAGGCTTCGCACCAGCCAAGCGAGTGAGCCGTCCGGGCAAGAGGCGCACGAGACAGGCTGCTGCTGCCGTGGTGAGCAGAGCGAGCAAGCGAACTCCCAAGACGTTTGCAGAGCTGCTAGAAGAGGTAGGGCATGGGGTGGGTAGGATAGAGGGAGGGAGGGGAGGGGGAAGGAAGGGGTAACACATGGTTGGATAGGAAGTGGATGAGAGTTTGGTTGGTAATTTTTTTTTTCCCCTCGAGTACTTTTTTGTTTTTTTTTTTTTTAATTATTATTCAAAGTTTTTCTGAGAATTCCCAAAATTACGCATCGGTCGGGTGGGAAGTGGATGACAATTCGGCTGGTAGGTGACATTGACGGATAAAATAAGATGGGTTCTGAGACGTCTCAAAGCCAATCTTATTTCACGGGTAGGAAGTGGATGAGAGTAGGGTTTATACGTGGCAATGTCAGAGCGAGCAAGCGAACGTTCAAGACGTTTTCTTGCAGAGCTGCTAGAGGAGGCAAGTCGTGGGGTTGGTAAGGGCGGGTAAAGAAGTATGGTGGGTAAGACCTGGGGCGGGTAAGACCTGGGGCAGGTGAGGCTGCTTGTGCTCACCCCTTCCATACCCCAAGCGCCATCCATAGTCGAGTCTAGAAGCCCTGTACTTACCCCTCGGACACACACCTCTTTCTTCCCACACCCCACCACCCTCTCTCCCCATCGGCGAGTCTAGAAGCCCTGCCACCAGGCACGCCCTCCTTACCTCACAGCAGCAGTGGAGCCCGGCTGCTGCCTCTGTGTATTGTTTGTGTGCTCACCCCTGCCATGCTTCTCCCTCGCTTCCATGCCCCCTCCTCACTCCCCACAGGCGAATCTAGAGACCCTGCCACCAGGCACGCCCTCCTACCTCACAGCAGCAGTGGGCCCTCCAACAGCCGCCTCAGTGCGCCGCTTCTGCTCTGCGTGTGGCAGCCACGCGCCCTACACATGCCCCCGCTGTGCCGCCCGCTTCTGCTGCATCAGCTGCCAAAGACTGCACAACGAAACCCGCTGCCTCAAGTTTGTCATGTAGTGATTTATGATCAGCTAGAATATTGATAAGCGTGTTGTGCTGTTTGGGGAATCTGTGTGAATCACTGCTGCTTTGCTGTGTCTAATTTCTTATTTGGAGGTGTCTCAAAACAGTTGTGTTGATTCGCTGTGTACAGAACAGTTAATGATTTGATTTGATCTGATTTTAACAGCTGTCTCTACTTGAAAGAGCTTCCACGTGAAGGAACTGCTGCTGCGGCCATGCTTGTTATCACTCCAGCACCTGAAGATGGCAAAGCTAGTCCAGCAACCGAGCTTCAGTGATTCAGTGATTTCAATAAAGGGCCTACAGCAAACGGGCTCAATATATTTTGTTCATTTTCTTTTATATATATTTACACATGCTAGCATCCCAAATACATGTTAACATCCATTTTCTGTGCGTAAATTGACAACAAATGGTTATGGAGAGAAAAAGCAATGATTATATATCCTGAAAACATTACAGTTGAAATGTGCATGAATCGCAAACGCGGACCACAATGTGTGGTGAGTGCGAAGGTTTTCGCACTAGGTGTGCAATTATTGCTCGGCCGCACACCCCGCGTTACTTGTACATTATGATCGCCCCACTTACATTCGATCCCCACAACAAAAACCTTGCACCACTCCTGACCGCTGGAAAACTTCACTTACCCGCTGGTTTTCAATACCCCTCTCACAGAACCCAACCGCGCCAGGAAACCAACCAGCACTTTCACATGTTTCATAATTTCGATGTGCGTCACAAATACCAGAGCATTAGCAAACGTGGTGGCCAGTTCCCCAGCGATAGCGATAAGCGCCGCATTCGTCGGTACCATGAGGTCCAGCAATCGAACGAGGCGCTACGAGAGGCATCATGGGGCTGAAACGCCTCCTCTGATGTCGAGCCGCAATATTCCAGCAAAGTCTGCACTCGGCACTCACGCTAGCGTATTTAACGCGGAGGAAGTTGGAAACAACTCATTCACCGCTAGTAACAGCAGCTAAACAAATTCAGTACCAACCCCCTCAGCGGTTCTTTCCCATCTCAGAAGACTGCCATATCGAGCTCTATCATGGGCGCGCTTCGTCATCGCTTTCTGCTCGCGCTCGTCCTCGTGGCGTCTCTAAACTTCCTCGCGGTTTTCGCGGCGCAGCCTCCGCCGGATGGGTACTACGGCGCGAGTGAGCCGGCGCTGGAAGAAGCATACGACCAGCGCGCGCTCCTGGAGGCCGAAAGCGATGCCTCGCTTGACTCCGTTGACTCGGTTGACTTGGAGGACTCGCGGGTGCTTCTCTCGATGGGGGATGCAGCGGCGGACTTGAAGCAGACGTCGGACGACCTCAGCGGCAGCGTGAAGAAAGCTGTCGGGCAGGCGGGGAGGAACGTGCGCAACTCGATCGGCTCCATGGTCGGAGTCCCGCCCAACAAGGGCACGAAGAAGCACCACCGCCGCGGCGGGAAGAAAACTGGGCGCCGCGGCGGGAAGAAAACTGGGCGCCGCGGCGGAAAGAAAACTGGGCTGGCGGGAGCTCGTAAGCGCAAATCGGGCGCGGCAGCCCCCAAGACGTCCGCTGCGGGGGTTCCGAAGAAGCAGGGGGCGGGAGGTAAGCTCAACTCCGGCGCAACCCCCAAGAAGCCCGCTGCTGCCGCTGCTGGCGCGACGGGGGCTCCTAAGAAGCAGGAGGCGGGAGCTAAGGACACCTCGGGCGCAGCACCCGAGTCCCCCGCTGCTCCCGCTGCTGCAAACGAGCCGCGCGCGCTCCTCGAGGCGGCCGACAGTGATGCCGTGATTGACTCCGTTGACTCGGTTGACTTCGACTCCGTTGACTTGGAGGATTCGCGGGTGCTTCTCTCGATGGGGGATGCAGCGGCGGACTTGAAGCAGACGTCGGACGACCTCAGCGGCAGCGTGAAGAAAGCTGTCGGGCAGGCGGGGAGGAACGTGCGCAACTCGATCGGCTCCATGGTCGGAGTCCCGCCCAAGAAGGGCAAGAAGAAGCACCACCGCCGCGGAGGGAAGAAAGCTGGGCGCCGCGGCGGGAAGAAAACTGGCCCCGCGGGAGCTCGTAAGCGCAACTCGGGCGTAGCAGCCCTGAAGACGGCCGCCGCTCCCGGCGCTGCTGGCGGGAAGGCGGTTTCGAAGAATCAGGCGGGAGGTAAGCTCAACTCTGGCGCGCATGCGCTGGGAGCAAAGGGCACCTCGGGCACAGCCCCCAAGCCCACCGCTGCCAGCAGTGCTGCGAGCAGTGCTGCCAGCAGTGCTGCACCCAGCATTTGATTCGAAAAGCAGCCAGCAGACGTGCAATGGAGGGTTGCAGGGCGGCAGGGTGGCTTGGTCCTTCTACACAGGGAGATGCGGCGAATGGCAACCGAATGACCCGGTCTAATGCATGGGGAAGGGGGGGCTCTAGAAGGCCCGTTGCTTGTGATGTGGCGAGCTTGTGGCAGTGGTTCCGCGTGTGTGTGTCTGTGTGCTTGTTTCTCTTTGAAAACACCTTTGTGAGGGAGGCGTGGTGGGTAGGAAATAGAAGGCAAGAGATGGGCTGCAAGGATACGTAGAAGGGGTTAGGAAAGAAAATTGACGTTTCTGCTTTGCTTGTGCTTTCTTCGCATCTCAGGGTTGATGATGTATTGCATGTGGTGGTGGGCTGTCATGTAGTGCAATTTGTGGTTCAATTCCAATGTTTCAGATTTCTTTACCAACAAGGCTACTACAGTAGAGACGAGGCAACAAAATGTCCCATACCTAAATAGCTTAGCACTGGCTTTATCGGCCAGCTCCAATTTTGTCCTGATATTTTCAAACCAGCCGGTTGTTGCTGCTGCTCCATTGTCACGTTATTCGCGTGAAGTTCAGCAATTGTTGGTTGGGTGGGTATGTGTTCGTTGGAGATGGCTGATTTTCCCTTGATGGGAAAGTCCTAGCTCCGCAGGCAACGGTGACGGCAATGTTACAAAAAGGTCAAGAGCGACGACCGACTTCTTTCTTCCTCTAGCCTATGCTCGTCATAACTAAGTTTGTTCTAAAACGTCTAATAGCGAGTACAGGCACCGGCTACAGTCACTCTGCCTCTTCAATGACCTCCTTCACCGAATTAACCTGCATCCGGACATACAGGCAGACACAGGCAGACACGGGCAGAGACAAGGGCAGACACGTGCAGGTCAGGGCAAACAAGAGCAGAGATGGGCGGACCAGGCAGTGAGCTGATGTGAGAGAAGCAGGCAAAGTGTAATGCATGAACGTTATTATACACGACAAACACTCAGCATTCATTACAATTATGGTGGGTGGGTGGGTGGCAGTGAGGAGAGGGAGGGCACAACAATCAGAGCTGGATTAAGAAGGGTGCCATGGCTTGAACAGCCCCTGCAAGCGCCTTTCATGCACAGATGCACGATTCCCGTGGCGTGGATGGTACGCAAGGTGACACGGGCGTGCGATCATGCTTGGTGAGGCATAAGAAAAAGGCCTGGGCAGGCACAGCAAGAGGGTGACGTGGCAAGGTGATGATGTGGCAAGAGGGTGACGTGGCAAGTGTTTGACATGGCAAGCGGGTGACGTGAAGCGCTCACTCGTCAAAGTCAACAAAGTCATTGTCCCCTCTGTCCTCCTGCAATGCCGGTCGACCTTTTAAGACATCTCAAAAGTCAACAATGTGAATCCAAGTCAGACTCACTCGTCAAAGTCAACCAAGTCAGACCCACAAGTCAAAGTCAACCAAGTCAGACTCACTCGTCAAAGTCAACAAAGTCAGACCCACTGGTCAAAGTCAACCAAGTCAGACTCACTCGTCAAAGTCAACAAAGTCAATGTCCCCTCCGTCCTCCTGCACTGCCGGTCGAATGCGCGTCTCCAGCAGCTCCCTTATCATCAGCACAGTCTCACTCTCATCTAGAGAGGGGTGGCAAAGGCGGGAGGGAAAATGCGCACATTCAAATGGGAAAAGAAAGGGCAACCAGAGGAGAGAAGCTACGAAGCATTCTCCAGCAGCTCCCTTATCATTAGCACCGTCTCACTCTCCTCCTGAAGGGGAAGCAGCGTTTGGGAGGGGTTGGCGAAGCGGGGAGAAGACACGGGGAGATTGGCTGGGAGCGGGTTGAAAGCGAGTCTCCAGCAACTCGCGTATCATCAACACCGTCTCACTCTCCTCCTGAGAGGGGTGGTCAACGGGGGCAGGGGAAACAGCAGGGGGAGGTGTGAGTTCAGCCCACGACTACTGTATCATCATCAGCACCATCTCACTCTTGATCTGAAGAAAGACAAGGGGGGAGGAGCCGAGTAAAGAAAGAACAAATTTCAGCTCCTTTTCAGGTTGATGCACACCACCCCACCTCTACTCCTACCCATTGCCACCGCACCTCACCTCATCTCACCACTTTCCCCCACTGCGCCTGTACTGATAAGCCATTCCCCCCACCCCACCTTTGCCCTTCATTCCTCCACCCCATCCCTGCCCCTCATTCCCCAACCCCTCTCCCCACTTCATCACTCACCCCACCCCACCTCTGTGGGTTATTGCTCCCCACCCCACCTCTGCGGTTTGTTGCTCCCCACCCCACCTCTGCGGGTTGTTGATCCCCACCCCACCTCTGCAGCTGCTGCTACCTGTGCCTGGGGGTTCAGCACCGCACCTATCCAACTCACCTCTCTACTCCTGCAATTTCCTACCCCACCTCTGTCTCACCTCACCTTCTCTACTCCTATCACTCCCCCCACCCCACCTCTGCCGGTTGTTGCTCCCCACTAGCTGCTGCTGCCTCTGCCTGGGGGTTCAGCACCGGCTGCCCGGAAGCAAAAAAGTCCATCAGGGCAGCAAAAATCTCTGGCATGAGGAGATCCCAGGAGCTCTCCTCCGTTTTTGTCCAGTCACAGATTCACCCCCCAAGAACACCCGAGCCACACCTGCGAAATGGTGCAGGGATGGTGTGGAGGGATGGTGATGAAATGTTGGTTAAATGGAGAAGCACCAGTGGCAGTGGCAGTGGCAATGGCAATGGCAGGTCAGGCGAAAAAGATAGTGCAGTTGGGCGCCGAAAAAAGAGAAACCGCTTACCATCAATGGGAACAGTGCAATTGCAAGTGGAGATGCTAGGGCAGCTGGAGGAGGTAGGGCATGGAGTGGGTAGGATAGAGGGAGGGAGGGGAGCGGGAAGGAAGGGGATAACACATGGGTCGGATAGGAAGTGGATGAGACTTAGGTTGGTAGGGTTTTTGTGAGAATTCTCAAGGGTTTTTTTTAGTATTCTCAAAATAACACATTTGTCGTGTGGGAAGTGCATGAGAGTTTGGTTTGTACGTGATTTTGACAGATGAAATAAGATTGGTTCTGAGACGTGTCAAAGCCAATCTTCTTTCACGTGTAGGAAGTGGATGAGAGTCTGGTTTATACGTGGCAATGACAGAGCGAGCAAGCGAACGTTCAAGAAGTTTTCTTACAGAGCTGCTAGAGGAGGCAAGTCGTGGGGTTGGTAAGGGCGGGTAAAGAAGTATAGACGGTAAGACCTGGGGTGGGTGAGGCCGCTTGTGCTCACCCCTTCCATACCCGAAGCGCCATCCATAGTCGAGTCTAGAAGCCCTGTACTTACCCTTCGGACACACACCTCTTTCTTCCACACCCCACCCTCTCTCCCCCACAGGTGAGTCTAGAAGCTCCGCGACCAGGTACGCCCTCCTACCTCACCGCAGCAGTGAGGCCCCCCACAGCCACCTCAGTGTGTCGCTGTCAGAAGTCTAGGCAGGAATGAATGGACTAGAACAGAGTTGAGTACAAATATGAAACCCTAATTGGGCTATACCCCATGTTAGCTACCCCACTACAGCCTAGACATATATAGCATATATATCATTTGACACAACCCCATAGGCAAAGTGGGGGAGAGCAAGGGGTCACAAGACCAGTCAAGAGAGGCAAAGCAAGCTCAGGGTGGATCACAACGTCACCTCACACACTGAGCACAAGCAAAGGGCCACAAGGTCTGTTCACATGCAGAGGTATATATGCAACAACAACAGCATAGTGATCTCTACCGAGAAAGAACAAGCATGCATGTGTATGTATGTATGTATATATATATATAAATATAAATATATATATATGTATAGATCACAGTACAAACAAAGCCTACAGCAAGTGAGGAAACGTAGGCACAAGGCCCAACAAGGTACAAAAGAGCTGATGCTCACTAGACGGAAGTGCCTTGGTGAATATTTCAGCAGTGTTGGCCCGAGTGGCCACGTAAGCAAGACGTAGCTGACCACGCTGCTTCAGCTCTCGAGCAAGGAAGTAACGCAGAGCGATGTGCTTTGTTTTGTGCTCCAGTCTGTGCTCCTGACACAAGGCAATGGCGGCCTTGTTGTCTACGTACAGAACTGGAGGAGAACGAGGCCGCTCTCCCAAGTCGGTCAGCAGGTAGGTAAGCCAGCGTAACTCCTAAGCAGCCATGGCTGTAACGTAGATTTCAGCCTCACAACTGGAGCTGAGAACAGAGGAAGAGCGTGTAGACTGCCAAGAAACAGAGCCAGAGCCAAGGCTGAAGGTGTAACCCTGTGATGACCGCTGCGTAGCCAGGTCGTCAACCCAAGAAGCGTCTGACTGACCAGTGAGGACAACTCCGCCCCGTCCTCCAAGCAAGAGCCCCATGCCCGATGTACTGCACAAGTAGCGTAGTACCCTCTTAGCAGCATCCATGTGCACCTTTCGGTGCCGACTAGGAGCCACGTAGCGAGCTAGAAGGCCAAGAGGGTACGCAAGGTCAGGACGAGCGCAGGTCATCAGGTATATGAGGCAACCCACTAGCTCTGGGTAAGGACCACCAGTACCAGCAGCTCCAGCACCACCAGCAGCTCTAGCACCTCCAGCAGCTCCAAAACCTCCAGCTCCAGCTCCTCGAGCACCAGCACCACCAGCAGCTCCAGAACCTCCAGCGCCAGCACCTCCAGTACCAGCATCACCAGCAGCTCCAGAACCTCCAGTGTCATCACCTCCGTACCAGCGTCACCAGCAGCCCCAGAACCTCCAGTGCCAGCACCTCCAGTACCAGCGTCATCAGCAGCTCTAGAACCTCCAGCGCCAGCACCTCTCGTACCAGCGTTACTCGCAGCAGCACCCCCGGAACCGGCAACTCTGGAACCAGGGTCTCCAGCCTTAGCGTCTCCAGCAACGGCACCCCCAGACTCAGTACCGCCAGGCCCAGCAACTCCATTACCTCCAGTACGAGCACCTCCAGAACTAGCGACTCCACCACCTCCTGTAGACAAAGTACCAGCACCAGTCC